CCCTCTAGCACTTTACAGCCAAACTTGCTTAGATGAAGTGAACTATACTACTTTCTACCTCCTCATCAAAATAATTCTTTACTAACTCCACATCAATCGCATGTGTAAAATTAATAGAAAAAAATCACTTTCCCAGAAGTATTACTGAGGTAATTTGAAAGCTGTGAGACTGCACAAACAAAACTGGAGGCTGACTAACTATATAATTATGGATAGGCAACCAGGGCATGACTTGGAGGAGACCCAATAACAAAAGCATTGATGTCACAGCACAAGGCACAGAACCTTTTTTGTTACATGTGAAACTTGTACAGCTTGCAGAACTTTATTACTAGAAAAGCTGATTGAGAAGAATAGAGCTGAACTTTGCATGACTGGCAGTGAGGTTTGTAGGGCTCACAATTAAAACCTTTCCCCCTCTTATTGGAAGTAAAATGAATACTTCCAACATGTGAATCACTGAAAGAAACATGACAACATTTTCACAGCATTACTCTTCAGAGTAGAGCTCCACTTTAAACTTGAATTAATGACATTTTCATCTGCTTCTAGATCTGTGAAGCTATTTAGTAGTTCTTTTTCTATTTTCAACTCAGTTGGAAAGGTCACAACAATTTTACATTTTTATTTTTGGCAGAGTTATAGCACTTTATTTTTAGTTCTCACTTCTCCCAAGTGAAATACTCAAATGTAAAAAAAACTTCCTACTGCTGCTAAAGTCAGCCTAAAAACTGCATGCTCTTGTAAACCTACCTAACTGTTTGGTTTAAAATGTCTGTAACAATGTCATAGTAACAACAACAACAACACCACACAATGTATAAATAAATGCCTTTTTCTGAAAATTCAACAATGAACACTGAAGAAAAATAAGCCACTTTGTAGCCAGAACCTCCCATAAGTCTGAACAGAGGGGAAGTAAGAGGATCAGAAAGATTTGCCATTTGTGGCAATCTTTGGCAAGTAAAAAGGCATTATGGATCTTTGTTGGTATGAATATCACCTGCAGACCAACTACATTTCCTGTGGCCATATTACTGTTTAAATAGCATTATATGCTTCAGATGCCCAACTTGTAAGCATCTAAATTGGAAAAAAAATAACCTTAATTTTTAGAAAAAAAATATTATATAGAAACATCTAATGTCACTTTCTGTTCTTCATGACAAATCTTTATACCAATGTTTTATCGGTAGCTCTCTATGTGCAACAGAACTGTATAACTCAGTTAAGGAAAAAATGGACCCCCCCCAATATTCAGTTAAAAAGTACTTCAGTTAAATTAAAAAAAAATAAATTCTATATACTAAAATTATACTTTCAGTACATTTATAGACACTATGCTGAAGATCTGGACAGTTTCTCAATAAGTTAAACTAGGTGCTGGTAATATAGATCTGTGCACTACAGCTATATGGTAGATAGCTAAGAAACACTTATACTTCAAGATGATTTGAATATTCTCTGGAGATACTGATATTTTGGGCATCTGTTTTTTCTGTTTGTTTCCTATAGTGCAGTTGATTTTGATTCTCATCAAGAAAGACATCATCTTCGAGGCTAGGGACAGACATTACACATACACTGGTTTAAGTGATCAGAAACTGGTCTGAACCTGTAACAGAATGGGGCTTGGGACAGACATTCAAAAAGCCTGAATTGATTCAATCTCTGCAGGTTAGTCTAACCTGGCTAGGCTAAATCAGTTTTGTAGCCAGACAGACAGACATCCCAGAAATGCAGGCACATGCCTGCAGTGGCTCAGGCTAGAAGCCAGGGGATGCTAGAGCAGCACCCCCCGTCCCTTGCACAGTGCTGAGCTCAGTCCCTGGCAGGGCATTTTGATTAGGAAGGGGCTCCATCCCTCTTCTTACCAGTCCAGTAGGGAATTGAAAATACAGTGTTATCACCCCTAACCTCAGTGTTTATCACCTGATTAAGAAAACAACAGAGAGACATTACCAGCTACCTGTTGATTCTGCCTTTGTCCTGCCACAACACGGAACATAGCCAGCCAGTCTGCTAGCTAATGCTGTATGTCTGTAAGGCAGAGGGGACAGTGGAATCCCTGCTTAGCAGGGAGTGACGAGGGAGAAGCCAGGCAGACGCCTACAGTCTGTGCTGAGCTCCAGCCAGGGAGCAGAGGGGAGGGACCAGCCCTGCTGTGGAGCAGAGCACCCTGCCCAGCCCAGAGAGCATGCTGGGATGCGGGGGGTGTCTGATTTAACCTAAACCAGGAAGGGTGTGGGACAGACATTGCATAAACCGGTTTGACCCAAATCAGTTAAATCTGATGCTACATTGAACCAGGTTTCTCTCAACTGTTTTCAAATTGGTTTATGTGCACTGAACATCTGTTCTGTTACAGCTTTAAACCAGTTTCTGATCACTTAAACTGGCTTATGTGTAATGTCTGTCCCTAGCCCAGATGTTCCGTACACATAAACCAGTTTGAAAATGGCTGAAACCAGTTTGAGATAAACCTGGTTGAATAAACCATCAGACTTAACTGATTTGGTTTATGCAATGCATGTCCAAGAGCCCTTCCTGGTTTAAGATATATCAGACATCTGCAGCATCCTGGCATGCTCTCTAGGCTGGGCACAGCTCTCTGCTCCACAGCAGAACTGGCCCTGCCCCCCTGCTCCCTGGCTGCAGCTCCAGTAGACACTTGCCGGCTGCTCCTCTCATCCCCCTCACCACCCTGTGCTAAGTATGGATTCTCCCCTCCTCTCTGCCTTGCTGAGAAGTATCTGTGCATTAGCTAGCAGACCACATGCTGGCTACAGTTCATGCTGTGACAAAGGCAGAATCAACAAATAGCTGGTAATGTCCCTCTGTTGTTTTCTTAATGGGGTGATAAACACTGTTATCAATTCTGTCCTGCCGGGGCCTGGCCATACCCACCCCCTCTCAGCTCAGTACTGTAGAAGGGAAGGGAGAGCTGCTCTAGCGTCCCCTGGCTTCTAGCCTGAGTCACTGCAGATATGTGCCTGCTTTACTGGAATGAAAAGGGAATGTCTATTCACCTCCAAATTGGTTCAAGCTTTGCAGGTTAGATTAGCCTGCAAATATTGAATCAATTCAGGCTCAGGCTTCTTGAATGTCTGTCCCTAGCCCAAATGCTTTAAGAACTTGTGTGTGTATCTATATGTCTATATCTCTATTTCTAGATATATTACAAGGTGCATGGCTCAGGGGCTGAAGCCCAGCTGCAGGGGTTAGAAGTGATAGCCCACCTGACTAGGAGCCCTAGGCCAGCTGACAGGATGACTGGCTGGCCCCAGAAGACATTAAAAACTACCAGGGAGGATAACTAGGGAAGAGGAAGAGGCTTGTGTGTGTATCTATATGTCTATATCTCTATTTCTAGATATATTACAAGGTGCATGGCTCAGGGGCTGAAGCCCAGCTGCAGGGGTTAGAAGTGATAGCCCACCTGACTAGGAGCCCTAGGCCAGCTGACAGGATGACTGGCTGGCCCCAGAAGACATTAAAAACTACCAGGGAGGATAACTAGGGAAGAGGAAGAGGGAGTGTGACAGGTACACGATCTGGGCCGACCTAAACGGGGCCCGCACACCTGTTCCTGGGGCAACCGCCCCCCTACTCGCCTGCCATGCCTTGTTATTAATTGATTAATTGTTGTTAATTAGTGGGAGGCTGCCCTTGTACTGTCCCGCTGCCAGGGAGTGCTATCCGTGGCTCCGTTTCCTCCCCTACACTGCAGTCCACACCTTGCCGATGGAATAGATGTTATGTCTCAATCCAATTATGAACAGTCCCCCTTTTTGTTCTCTCTGGGCCTCCTCAGTCACGCCGCCCCCTCTCTGGGGCTCCCCAATAATGCCCCCTCCTCTGGGGCTCCTGGGCTACTGCTTCCTCTCTGGGGCTCCCCAGTAGTGCTGCCCCCTTTCTGGGGCTCACCACACCTGCACTGGGGCTTCTCAGTAACTGCCCCCTTCTTTGGGGCTTTTGCCCCCTCTCAAGGCGCTCCTCAATACTGCTGCCCTCTCTCGGGGCCTTCTCTGTCAAGCTGCCCTCTCTCTGGGGCTTTTGCCCCCTCTCAGGGCGCTCCTCAATACTGCTGCCCTCTCTCGGGGCCTTCTTGGTCACACCACCCCCTAGGGTCTCACCATACCCTCACTGGGGCTTCTCAGTAACACCCCCTTCTCTGAGGCTTCTCAACTGCCCCTCTCTGGGGCTGGGGTCTATGCACCCCGAATGCTGTGCCCTCCCTGGCGCTGGGGGCCTCCCACTCCGCTGTGGGGCCCCCATGAGGCCCCACTCCGCTGTGAGTCCCCTATGAGGCCTCCTCCAACCCCTGATAGCCTCTCCCAAACCACCGGTGTAACAAACAGCTATGTAAACACAAGCCGTCTGGCTATAACTTAAATGGAAGCCGCTTGGCCATAAAAACATTCAAGCCTACCCGGGGATTACTCCATCCCTTAGCAGTGCCAAACGCTGCTCCTGCAGTCAGACCTCCCCTCTCTTCCATGACAGAGCTCTTTCCTCTTGGGCTACTGGCAGGGAACTGCCTCTGGCCCCAGCCCCTAGGGTTTATAAAGGGAGCCAGGCCCTGCCCCTTCTGGTCACCTGACCTTCTCTGGTTGCCCTGGCAACCCACAGCTGGGCTCCTTATTCCCTGCTAGGGCTTCCTCCCTAGCAGTTTTCTCCTCTTTGGGAGCAGGGCACCTCAGTGCTCTGTGACAGGGAGAGAGGAGGCTGGTATGCTGAAGGAAAAGTACTAAGCCTGGGTGACCTCTCTTTTAGGTGAGAGAAAAGACCTGAGGATTTACTTTGTATATTATTTGTACATTTGTTTATGGTATCACTTGCTTTGTTTCCCATGGGAATAAGCCTTTCACATGTAAAATAGAAATGGGACCCAAGTGCTGCCTGGTCTTTATGAGGAAGTTAGAGAGGGAGAGAAATCCAAACCATTGGGGAGATTGAAGGGAGTGAAAAAATATACTGCTTTATTAGATTTTACTTACCAAGAACAGTGTTCGGAAGCTGCTGAGATCTCCAAAAAATTCTTCTATGCCTGTTGCTTTGGGATCAAAGGAAAAATACTCTCCCAAATTCTCATATAACTTAATCATGTTGTTGTGCATGTTGGACAATTTTTCATAATGGTCTCTGGCATTCTTTGAAAAGCTGTAAGTTTGTGTTAAGGTACATGACTGAACTGTAACTCTTATCAGTAAACTGAACAACAAACTTGCACAAAAAGTTAAGATAGAATTGAACCACAACAGTCTTGTGTAATTGATATTATTCTACAAGCCAACCAAATACTTTTATATACAGATTTTAATCTGAGTAATTTTTTACATCTACACAGGTAGGTTGCACCACTGTTTTGCAAACTCTTCCAAGTTACAGCCAGCTTTTGACAATGAAAACTGTTTTGTGATGAAAGCCTCCTCCCAAACTTTTAATTTGTTTTATTTAAAATCTTACTGAAATTTTAAGAGTTACAGACTAGCATCAGGCATAACAAAACAAGTATTACTGCATAAGAAAGTCTACATGATTAACAGTCATGTCAGACTACATGAGAACCAACTATTTTAAGTACACAACAATACAAAGAACATAATAATCAACAGAAATATAGCGCCAATGGCTACTTAAAAACAATTTTATGTCAGATATAGAGAAAAAATGTACCTGGATAATACAGAAGCCATTATGTGTACAAACAAGACAAAATTAGACATATCAACTGATATTCTCTAAGAATGAAATGGTAGGGATATTTACAAAATTCAAGTATGCACAATATCTGCTCATAAGTCTGTGGATGTCTGAACTAAGTACTTGCACTGCCCTCAATTCATGGGGAAAAAAGATACAAATCATTGTCTAAAATGGGGCAGCTATATTGCACGCTTAGCTATATTGCACTTTCATTAGTAACTGAACAAGGCCTGAAAATCAACCAAAGATCCAATTCAGAGATGCTTTGGCATAATAATCACAAGGAAAAGAAGAACACATAAGTAAAAAAATATAACCTATATTTAGAACAATATATATGTGAACTTTTAAAGACTAAGAATTAAAAATGTCTTAAGAAGAAAGATGCAGTGCTTTGGACATGTAACAAGAAGATTCAGCACTCTTGCCAACACCATGCTACAGGGAGCTGTGGACAGATGAAGAGGAAGAGGAAGACCTAGGACAAACTGGACCACAATCATCAAAGACTGGACAGAATCAAAATTGACTCACTATACAAGGATTGCAAAAGACTGGGAAGAATGAAGGAAAGTTACTGCTACATCAAAGGTGTTCCAATGATCAGGCCAGACTTGGGACTGACTTGACTTAATATGTGAACATTTAAAATTTAAGACAAATAAGGAAAAATTACACATTTCCATCAAGTTTTTACAAGCTTCAGTATGCTTCCCTCATTTGTTGTACTTAAGATCGGCATCATTCACATTAAAAACCATCCAACCATGGTTGAACTAAGTTTTCTGATTCAGAACTGCAGCTAATGAAATTACTTTGCTGTACATATCAAGAATATAAAACAAAAGGGAAAAAAGGAGGAAAGAAAATAACCAGTAGAAAGGAATATTCGAAGTTGTGAAATACACGAAAAATGCAAGGGAATCTAGGCTGAAACTTCGTTCTTAAAAACTTTGTTTTACTTATTGTTAAGATTGCTAAAAATCTCTGTGTTATGCAATACCAAAGCAAAAGAGGGGGAGCTTGAAAATAATCCTGGTGCTTTGCTTAGTTTGTATTCATTATATCTGAAGTAAAGGTTTCAAATTCATTTAAAAACACCTTTCCAAGTACAATATGAAAAAATCCATACAAGAGCTTAGGGAACCAATTGTAACCTCAGAAGTATCAATTCTGTTTCATCTTGAGAGGCTTGGAGGGTTTTTAAGACACATTTTTCTGTATATAATATGTAAATACTGTGCTAGCTGAGCTTTTCCCTCACTAAGTTAGAAGTTTTCATTCTAGTTAAAATACCCTGTTTTTAGTTTGCTGGTAGACTAAACTCACATTCTCTTGCTGTAAATCCTTTTTCCTGTTGTCTCTTAATGTGTAAATTACTCTTAGGTTTGAAATAAGAACTGCATTTATTGATAGATTGTTTACCTAAAAATTACAGCATCCACTCCGCCTTTAATCTAAATCTTCAAATTCCTACATTTTTAAACATCTTAATTGTTAACAAAGAAAAATAAATTCTGCAAGTGCACAAATATAAATGATTTTTCTCTACTGCTATTAAGGTTCTGTACAGGTATAGTAGATACAACATGTCTAAAAAGGAGACTGTATGTTTCTTTTATTAAAACAAAGCAAAAGCCTTCACTCATTAACTATAAAACAAATGGTAGAGAATAGAATAATGCTTAGATTACAGTACTGGGGGAGGTACACCTTTAATGTCTCTCAACAATAGAAACCTGAGCATAAGGTGCAATACTGAGAAACATACAACCATTCACTGCACATGGTCTATGGCCATACAGCTTACTTTAAGCTACCTATATAGACTGGAAGTGATACATACAGCCATTCACAGCTCTTGGGAGCAGTGCAGGAAATCTGAAATAAATGACTTGGAATGGGGTAGGGGTGGATGGGACTGAGGGTTGGGGGGGACTAGTGGGCCTGTGAAAGGGGTTGGTGGGCAGCTGGCAGGTCTGCCAATGGAGAGATTGGGGGGTTAAAAATATCCGAGTCAGGGTTGGGGGGAGGGAAATAGCAGGACCCTGGGAGTCTGGGGTGAGTGACTTGACTTTCCTAGCCCCAGGGTTGTGCAACACATGTGTGCAGGTGTTTGGGAGATCAGGTTAACACTTTCCTACATCAGGTTAAACCTTTCTCATTCTAAGTGAATCTCCTGAAGTGAACTAACTTAGATCAGATAAGCCAGTTTTGGATGTTTTAAGCTCTCTGAATGACTGCATGATTGGGCATCTAGACTGACCTAACAATGTTTAGGTCAATCGAAATGTAATGCCTGTATGTACGTTAAGAAAATGGGACACCTAAGATGATTCTTTCAACTTAACAGTTGCAATTCTACCTTGCCATCCATACATATTCCACGTACAATTCTTAACAGACAAATTACTTTAAACCAGTCAACCTTTCTTTGTAATGTCTTTGTATTCAAGAATGAAAACTGCAGGTGATAGTCTCTATTTTATGGAAGGCTACACTACTTATTGCTAGTTTCTTATATTCATCTAGAACAACAAAAAAGGAAAAAAATAAGTGTCTGGGGAAAGATGTGTAATGGCTGCTGCTGGACTTGCAGCAGGGCAAAGGGTCCCTTCAAAGGCAGAGTGGGAAAGTTTGTAGCCACAGTTATTTTGCAAAAGCATATGCATAGTTTTGATTGGCTCCTGAGTCAGGCAAGGGGAGGGAACTCAACCCCGGGTCACAGCCAAGCTCAGAAAGGGGTATGAGGGGAGAGGCACCCTGGGACCCCAGAGCTCAGGCAAGAACCATGCTGCAGCCTGTGGTTGCTGTCGCCGTGCATAAAAGCTGCAATTGGTGCCCTAGGAGGGCAGGGTGTCAGTTTGGGAAGGCTCTGGGGACAGTTAACTGAGAAAACAGCTTAGGGCCTTTGGTGATAAACCTAGGGTTGTTTCAGTTAACAGCACAAGGGGCTGTGTCTGGAAATTGGAGAAAGGTCCTTTTGGGAAGGGGGGGGGGGGCGACAGTGTGAGTTTCTTTTGGAGGTACAACAGACAGCTGGACCAGAGGAAAATTTCTCTTCCCCATGAAGGCTCTTTCAGAGAGCAGAAAGGCACCTTCTCTTTGAAGCAAGCAGCCCTGCACCAGTCAATGTTATTGTGTTGCTAATGTAAAGGAGAGCTGATGTTTTGTTAACCCCCCTGTACTCCTGATGAAACTCACTTGAGATACAAGGTTTAAACTGGGGAGTTGTACTGAGGTTGTTCTTTATTCAATTAGTATAAAGTGTTCTTGGTTCATTGATACCTTGGCTCTGACATTAGATTATTGATATCCTGTTTTGATATTAACCTCATTCATATGTTGACTCTTTTGTGAATAATAAAATGTGTAAATAGTTAGACTGTATGTACTTGAGTGTGTGGGGAAACCCCTTGAAAGCACTCCACAGAAAGCAAAGAAAGCGCACACAAGAAAGCACTCCACAGAGAGGTGGCCCCAGCCTCAGGGGCTGGGAGGTTGACGGAGGCTATATGACACCTCAGCACCTCGAATCTGGACGTGGCCATGGGTAGCACTGTGGCTAGGGGTACAGATGCAGCTTAACATAGTATATATGAAGTAAGATTTTAAAACATTAAAATGAGCCAAGCTACTCTAAAGATGAAGGCTGCAAATTCTTTTGGGGTTCAAAAGGTACCAACAATACCTGTTGCTTTCCAATTCAGTTTTGCATACTTTAACCTGCTTTATAGTTTGTAATGCCATAAGCCCATTTTATAACAGCCTGCAGTTTGGAATAGCTCAGCCACTGCTGAAATTAGGAAACACAATGTGGAGCTGTCAATGATGATGCAATAGAACCTAGTGTAGACATGGACAGCAATGGCACATTCATGGAGTATAGGACTCAGAGCTTTGAAAATTCCTTACAGAAGAGTGAATTGCTTTTCTACAATTTCATGTCAGCAAATCAGCAGCCTGAACTACCAATTCAGAAAAATTCTACTGGAAAAATAAAGGCTGGTTACATAATTATACATTTTACTTCATTCCACACATCTAAACTTTTAAAACATTTTAAACTTGAAATTAGTTCCTTTATTAAAGTCAACCAAAGCAACCCAGCAAACATTGGACTCCAACTAGAATGAGGACACACAGAAACCAACAAGTGCTGAAAACAGAGTACTGCAAAAATTCAGTAACTAACAAGATAAACCTTGTTGAATGAGAGAGGACATCCCGAAATTATGTTAACTAAGAATTATCTAATAATGTCCGTACTGGGAATCTCGGAGAAGTGTTATTATAGAACAGACAAAAAGATGTTGACAGCTTGAGAAAATGAAATGTGTAATGACTGTAGGAATGGAAACACTTTTGCATTTCAAGACTGAGCAGAAAGAAGGACAACTCTGTAGCCAGGCTGCAGCTACAATTACAGCTTCTCAGCTTCAGTAGCAGCTACGAT